CTGTGAGCGTGGCAGAAGGGCAGAGCTGCATTAGACATTCACACAGCCAGACCCTCGGGCCTGTTGGCCAAGGCAGGATCAAGCTCAGGAAGGAACAGGTGTGGTGGGACCTTATGGCAGGGGATCCCGGACTTCCGGGCCCTGGTCTCTCTTAGGACAAGACCCCGTTCTCTGGACTGGGCCTCCAGCTCTCCAGATCTTTCTTTCTCTGTGTGGCCCTGTCTCTCTTCTCCACCGAGCAGTAGACTCTGTCCCTACTCAGCCTCTCCTTTCTCCTGGAGCGTTTGAGGTAGATCCATCTGTATCTCCAGTCCATCCACCCTTCCTGGGCCCCGACTCCGGGCCAGGCTGGCTATCCCCGCCTCTCCAGGAGCCTGGACAGGGTCCTGCCCACCACAGCTTTGCTTCTACTCCCTGCCCTCCACCGCCTCTGTTGCAGGCAGCTGGGCCTGGGCGCCTTCCCCGTGGAGAGCCGCTGGCAGGGTGTCTACGGCCCCTTCCGGGACTTCGTGCGTGCTGGCTGTCCCGGGGACCTGCAGGAGGCCCTGCTGGGCTTCCACGTGCAGAGCTCGAAGGAGCTTCGCAAGTCCCAGGAGTACCTGTGCTGTGAGAGGTGAGGCCCAGGTGGGCGTGTACCTGCGCACCCATGGGGACATCCAAAAGGCTTCCTGGAGGGGGCGGGCCTGGGCCCAGGCGTGGGTGAGAGATGTGTGTGTGTGGTGCCCCAGGACCCAGCCGGACGATGGTGTGGGCAGAATGGACGAAGTCCTGGAGGAGCTGCTGCAGCACCGGGAGCCCGAGGCCCTGCAGCAGTGCCTCAGGAAGGTGAGGGCCCTCGAGGGGAGAAGCCTACGGCGAGGGGACTTCACTTCCCCTGGCGCTGACCGGAGGGGACAGGCCCTTGGCCCCGTCCCAGAGGGCCGCAGCGCTCCCATCTGTGAAATGGGCGCGGTTTTGGGGGTCCTGCCCCGGGCCCTGAACATCTCTTTGTTGCCTACGCACTGGCCAGGCTCTGAGCAGCTCTCTGCACCCCCTGGGAAAGCTGCTCCGGACGCTGATGCTGACCTTCCAGGCCACTTACGCGGGCACTGGGGCCAACAAGCATCTGCAGGGGCTGGCCCGGGAGGAGGTGAAGCAGCACGCGCAGGAGCTCTGGGCCGCCTACAGGTGAGCTCGGTGGCACACGTGGACAGCTACTGCCCTGTGACCCCAGGGGGGTGGGCTCTGCCCTTTCCAAGTGTCAGCACTGCCTGGGACCCCGGACAGGAATGGCGCCTCTCCCTCAGGTCTGGATGGAGAGAGAACCAGAGGGTGGGTTGGCGAATGTGCAGCTGGTGGGCAAAGGCCTCGGGTGCGGGGAGAGTAACTGATGGCAAGGCCCGACCGGGCCCTAGACTGACCCCTGACCCCAGGGGATCTCTGGCCCTACTGCAGGCCGAGCCTGGCCCTGGACTCAGGCCCCATCTCCAGTTCCGGCTGACCTGTGACCCCATCGGTCGTTACAGATAGGGCCCTGGCCACTGCAGTGCCCCCTGCAGGGTTCCGGGTCTCGGGCTGGCATCCTGTCCTCCCAAAGTCCTAAGCACGGAGGTTCGGGAAGCTGCACTGTGCATCTCGTGCTCCAGGTTCTGGGAGGCGGAGCCATCTGCCCTTGGGGATGGGGCTAGGAGCTCTGGTCTGTAGGAGGTGGCAGCCACGCCGACCTTCTCTCGTTGCTTCGCAGGGGTCTGCTGCAGGTTGCCTTACAGCGCAAGGGCCAGGCCCCGGAGGCAGAGGAAGACACAGAGACAAGGTAGCCGCCCCAGGCCCCCAGGGGGCCTGAGGGGTCCTCTCCCCCAGGGCAGCTGGGCTCAGGTCCAGGGAGGCCTCACACTTTTGCGCCTGGGGCCTCCCTCGGAATGGGGCGCTTCTGGGGGAAGCGTTGAGAGTTCTTGCCATTGACCAAGCTTTGTACATTGACCATTCAAGGACCAGAATGACCCATGACCTCTGTTCCACAAGCATCCTGGGAGGGGTCAATGCACCAAATGTCTCTGTTCTGAACGTGCTAGCCCAGCCTTGTCTCTCTGTACGCAGCCGCCCGGGCTGCCCTCCTTCTCCCTAGGGACACATGGGAAAACAGGCCTGCCAGGTACTGAGCCTGAGCTGCCCTCCTTCTCCCTAGGGACACATGGGAAAACTGAGGCCTGCCAGGCACTGAGCCTGAGGTTGGTCACACAGGATCACGCAGGTCATTAAATCTGTCTCCCTTGGCCCCCTCCAATCACACCTTACAATGTGCCTCCGGATTCCAGGCCTCAAGACGCTGAGCAGAAAGGCCTTTCTGGCACTGCGCTGTAGGAGGTGTGGGGAGTGGGCTTAGACCTTAGGGAGAGCGTCCCCCTGGAGTCCTAGGAACCACGGAGAACCAGGAGGCGGGACTGGACCGGCCTGGATGGGCTGCTGAGGGCTTCGCTGCCAGTCACTTGTCCATCCTGGGCCCTGGTTTTGCTTTCAGTCAAATGGGGATCAAAATCCCGCTCCACCTGAGCAACTGACCGAGAGCAGACTTGAACAGGGTTTTCTAGGGAACGAGGAAGGCTGGAGGCAGGGACACTGTTGTGGGAAAAGGAGCAATATGGGCTTGTTGAGGGGCAACCCAAGTAGCGATCCCACCCCAGGCCCCACCCTGCTGACCCCGGCCTGTCCTCGCAGGGACCTGCAGGTACACGGTTTGGTGCTGCCCCTCATGCTGCCCAGCTTCTACTCGGAGCTCTTCACTCTCTACCTGCTTCTCCACGAGAGGGAGGACAGCTTCTACAGCCAGGGCATCACCAACCTGAGCCTCTTCCCCGACACCAAGCTGCTTGAGTTCTTGGACGTGCAGAAGTAAGCCTCCCCCCACGCCTCGTGCTCCAGACCTCTTGTGCAGCACAGGCTATATATAGTCAGCTCAGATTGTCCTTAGCAAAAGAAGGGAGGCGTTAGGTGGCCGTGTACCTGTGGCGTCCCAGGGTTCTGCTGGTGTGGCTGCATTCAGGTGTGGCTGGATCTAGGTGCTCAATGGCCTGAGACAGGGAAGCAAATTCTCTCCCTCTCTGTTAGTCTGTCTCTGGCGCCCCTGTACAGTGATGAACATGGCACCAGCCACTCAAGGTTTATGCTCTCCTAGCTCAGTCCCCGACTGCGAGTCCCTGACTGCGAGTCCCCGACTGCGAGTCCCCCACTGCGAGTCCCCGACTGCCTTCGCAGGGAGCTGGCGTCTCCTCCCCAGCATCTCCAGCAGGGCCCCCGCAGTCCCTCACTGGCTTGGCTTGGGTCTTGAGTGTGCCCTCGAGTACTGGCTGTGGCCCAGTTTGGCCAGGCCTGCCTCCGTGTCTACCCCTGGGGCTGGGGCAAGGTCACTTGCTCCTGGGTCTTGGACTGCGAGAGGGGGAGGGGAGACCCTGAGGGGAAACTGAGGACTGCACCGGAGCAGTTCGGGGACCCCTTTCTACCCTTGGTTGCCAAAACATCCTCTGTCCTCCGCGCCCCTTCTGATCCATTGATAGTGTGCGTGACGGGGACATGGGCCTGCTCTGTCCTCCCTCAGCTGCTCTCCTTTGTCACACGGCGATGGTGCTTCCCACCCCCCCCAAACCTTGTTTCCCCTTCCATTGTGGTGACTATGTCCTGCATCTGACAGTCACCGCCAGGAGACGGGGTGGCCGACAGCTTCCCAGGTGTCCCTCCTCCATACTGCCCCCTGCTGCCAAGTCCCGCTCTTGTTTGGGGCCAGATGGAGGCTGTCTTCCCAGGCACCCCCTCCCCCTCCCATCCTCCCCTTGGCTAGGGCTCCACACACGGACCCTGGGATGGCAGTGCGGACCCATTTCCTGCTCTCAAACCTGCTGGGGGGAACTTTGCCCTCTGACCTCAGACCCCGACCCCGCTTGGCAAAGCCTCTCATCTCATTTTAAAAATTTCAGGCACCTGTGGCCGCTCAAGGACCTCACGCTGACGACCAATCAGGTGAGAGGTGGGCCCTTTACTTGCCCCAGGGAGGAGAGGCCTGAGCCCTGAGCTGGGCCCCCAGATTTGCTCAGGCGTGCAAGCAGCCTCTGTCTCCTGTCACTGGTCGGAGGCTGCGGAGGGTCTTGTGGGGCAGGGATGGGGCAGGGAGGAGACGCCAGGTTCCGCATTATTCTGAGCTCTGGGTGAGGGTGTTGCTGCTGGCCCGCAGGGACCCGGCTCAAACACAGGCCCCACCCTCTCACTGGCGGTGTGACCATGGCCTAGTATGTAGTCTCTGTGCCTCAGTTTCCTCATCTGTGACAGTACCCCCTGGGGGCAGGGGGAGTGGGCAGGTACTTGCTGGGCAGTGGTCTCAGAGGGTGCTTGCCGGACCAGCAGCATCAGCAGCCTTTGGGGAGCTGTTAGAAAAGCAGGTTCTTGGACCCACCCCAGGCCTCTGGGTCAGAAACTCGGGGAGTGGACTGGAAACCCACGTTTCAGGGGGTTCGAGGGCCGTTGACATAGGCGCGGCTGGAACTGGGTGGCACCAGGTGATCCTCGGCTTATGATTATTATCTTCTTTCTCCGTTCCGATCCTCCCAACCTCCTACCGACCCTCCCCCCACTTCGCAGAGTGAACTGAGGCTCACAGTGGAGCTGTGACTTGCCTTGGGTCACTCAACCCTGCGGGCACGGCGGTGCTGAAGCCAGTGATGGGGATGGGGTGGGTGCCAGGGGCTCAGGGCCAGCACCAGCCATGGGGAGGAGGACGTAACGGGGCTGGGGGCCGTGGCCTCACCGGGCCTGCTCCCTCTGCCGTACAGAGACACTCCCTTGTGACAGACAAGTGCTTCCTGTCAGCTATCGAGTGTCTGCAGAAGGTCATGTGAGTCCACACCCTGGGTGGGGAGTGGGGGTGGGGGTGGGGGTGGGAGGCAGGAGCATTGGGTCCCTCTGTGGGGACTGAGCCCGAGGACCTTGATCTGGAGCCAGCCACCCCGCCGCAGCACCACGGTGGACCCCCGGGAGAAGCTGGAGGTGCTGGAGAAGACGTACGGAGAGATCGAGGCCACCGTGTCTCGGGTGCTGGGCCAGGAGCACAAGCTGCCCATGGACGACCTGCTGCCACTGCTCATCTACGTGGTGTCACGTGCCCGGTGAGCTGCCTCTGGGCCGGGACCGAAGTCTTTGAGCATAAGGGTTTATGGACACAGCTTTTCTTGGTGTGACAGGGATGCTGAGGGCCAGGGATGAGAGGGTCTCAGGGTCCCACCCCGGGTCCCATCCCGGGTCCCATGGGTGCCAGAAGCAGAGAGGGGACCACACCCCAGGTGTCCAGCCCCCCAGGCTAGGGCTCCTTCCCCAGTGGCTTGGTGCCTGTCCCCGATGGGCCCCTCCTCCCTCTCACGGGGGGCGGGTGCTCATTCTCCAGTATCCAGCACCTGGGAGCTGAGATCCATCTGATCCGTGACATGATGGACCCCATCCACACAGGGGGCCTCTACGACTTCCTGCTCACGGCCCTCGAGGTGAGGGACAGAAATGCCCTGGTCGCTGGGCAGACCCCTTCCCCGCCCCAGCCACCATCGTGGGGGTGGGCTCACTCACATTCGTGACTCGCGTGCCTCCTTGGGAGGGGTCCTCACAGAGCCCCTGGGCCTGCCCTTGTTCAAAGGGGCCATAGTGGAGTGGCCACAGTGCACCTCAGTCCTGGGGACCCCAGGACGACGATGTGTTCCAGGCTGTGTCCCCTGCAGAGGGAAAGCTCCATTCCCCTGTAGACTGGGGGCGCAGCAGGGGGTTGAGTTGGACACACGGTGGTCCAGGCCCCGGAGGCGGGCACGCCCTGGTGTTTGGCCCCGGAGCCTGAGCAGGTGGCTGGGAGCGGGGAGGCACCTGGCCTCAGCTCCACCTCTCTCCCGCCAGTCCTGTTATGAGCACATCCAGAAGGAGGACATGCACCGCTTGCCCAGCCGCTGGGACTCCAGGGAGCCCCGGTAGCCCGGCCTCCCCTGGACGGACCGCAGAGCCACAGAGCTGAGAGGCCGCCGTGGGTTCCCATGGGGCCAGCGGGCCCAGCCTGGCCCTCGTGGCCCTCGGAGGCGGCTCTTGGAGATGAATGTTGAGTTTCCCACAGGAGGATGTCGCTGCCGCCCAGTTTGGGATGAGGGTGAGGGCGACAGATGTGGCTCCAGACCTGGTGGTTTCCTCCCGCTTCCCCTGGGCCAGTCTCAGATGACCGCCTCCTGCAGGCAGGCCGGGGGTAGGGAGCCCCCGGCTTCTCCTTGCCCGAGTCTGGCTCCTAAGTCATTGGGCCCCTCTGGGCCTCAGAGTTGCCGTCTGTGAAATGGTGGACGAGGTCGTCTGTAAAGGACCTTCCTTCCATCTTGCTGAAGTCCTCCCGGAAGTCTGACTTCGGTCTGTCGGGCTGTGACTGAAATGCTCACGTCACTGTCATTCCGTCTCTCTGCTCCTAGTCAGAGACTCCAAGCTGCTAGTGACCACGTGCCTCCTGGGCCTTTTCCCCATGAGTGGTCTCCCGGGGACCTGCCTTGTTCCAGCTCTGCTCCAGGGGTGAAGCGTGGGGAGAGGGTGGGTTTCTGCGGTGGCCGGGTCTCCCCTGCCACTGCGCCCTGGGCTAAATAAAGCAAGTCAGGTCATCGTGCTTGGCTCCAGATGCGCCTTTCGTAAACAAGGTGCTGGCCTCAGCCTGTGAGGGAAAGCCCCACATACCTGAGCCTGAGGCTGAATCCCCACCTGGAGCCTCAGGGTGCGGGGATGGCTGGGAGGGGGACCCACGGACCCTCAGATGATGTAGGGCAGTGGGCAGGGTGACCCAGGTGCCTCCTTGTGCTGCCACCTTCAGACGAAGAGGCGGGGTGAGGCTTTCTCTGGCTGTTTCTGCTGAATGTGGTCGCTTGAATGGTCTGGGGCTCTGGTTTGGCCAGAAACCCTGGAGGGGGGTGAGCTGATGAAGGGTGAGGACATCCAGGCTTGGATGAAGGGTCGTGGCCATTCACGCTCATGCAGGACTGAGGCAAGTCTCCAGTGTTTTAATCCTCTCCAAGTTCTCGTGTCTCGATCAATGAGAACAGCCTGGCCCGAGTCTGTGGGATGCTGCGGAGCCTCACGCAGAGCCCCGCACGCTTCCTGGCCTCTAGATCAGGGCACCCTTGCTGCAATTCAGATTCACCAGGACCTTCCACTCGTCCCCTCACTGGGCCTTGTGTGGCACCTGCTGACCTGGAGCCTTGGGAGAGGTCAGGGGCCACCAGGGCTGTATCAGACTCTAAACAAAACCGTGAAGCAGACAGGGGTGTTCACATTAGACAGGAAGTTGATCACTGAGCTCAGTGCTCCATTTACAAAAGAGACACCCACAGCCACGTAACCACCTGCCGTGTGGTGCCTCAGGGAGGCTGACGGAGATGCGGCATCTCCAGGGACCCCAGTGGGGACGTCTGCCTGCTGCTGCCGGGGCCCCTGTGGCTGCAGTGAGAGCACACTGCTGTCCAATCTGGAAGTCGAGCTGACCAGGGACTGCAGCCCCTTGGCGGTCGGGCCCATCCTGCTCTCCGTCTTTGTGGACCCGTCTCTTCTCCAGGGTGAGGATTCTCCTTTCAGCAGTGATCGTGAGGACGTGGCAAAATGCATAATCGGTCCCAAACAGGACTCCATGATCACCTGGGCTGGGGAGACACTGGTTGCTGGTGCTGGCTGGCAGGGGGCTTTCTGACAGGACCAGGCCGGCCCTGCCCTCGAGGGCCTGGCTTTGGGGCTGAGAAAGAGACACCGGAGAGATTAAATGGCCTCTCAGTGAGCAGATGTGTCCAAGTGCCTCTGACCGCAGCCCTGGCCCTCAGGACCCAGCTTTGCCCTGGTGACCGCCCCCCACCACGCTGCGGCCCTGGCCCTGCGTGCAGCACGCAGTGTCCTGTGCAGCCTCGCCCCCGCTACTTCCCCTCGCCCACTGCCTCCCTTCCACGCCAAAGCCGCTCGCTGCCACTCTGGTCCCTCGCTCCGGCCCCTCGCTCCGGCCCCAGAAATGCCCGGTCCCACCGGCTCCCAGGCTGCCCCATCCTCGCAGGCCAGCTCACAGGAAGCCCCTGTGTCCTCCCGGCTCCTTAGCCCTTCTCCAGGACCCCTTCCCTGACCCCATCCCGTTGCTGGTGAGTGACCGGTGGGTGTCTGCTCTCCCTGTGCTCTTCAGACACTGCTGGCTGCCGCTCCCTGTGCCGATGCCCACAGCAGCCGGGGACCAGGGTCAAAACGGTTCGATTCAGGATAAGTTGGACTGTGAGGGGAACGACCCCAGGGCGGGTCTGCATTTAAGACCGACCAGGTCAGCACCTATGCACACAGAAGCCCCTCGGGCGTGGCCAGGACAGGCAAGGATACACAGAGAGATGGAGGCCCGGCCACACTCGGGGCGCAAGCAGACAGGAAGCTGATGCCAAAGTCTCAGGAGACAGGGAAGGGAAGACAGCCCCCCTCTCTATCTCCGGGCCCAGGTTGACCTTGCCTGGTCTCCCCAGGGCCCTGTCCACACCTGACAGTGGTGGTGCCAGTCTGGCCTGGCATCTCCATGCACTGATCCGCTACAGCGTCCTGAGCCCTTGCTGGAGGGAATACCCCACAGCGCCCAGGCTACAGCCTTTGGCCCAGTTGTGGTTGATGGAGATGATGTCCTTCTAAAAGGGACATGGGCATAGGGTGTTCCCGTGAAGACTGCCTCCCTCCCTCAGCCAACGAGCTTCACTAGGGGCCTCCTGGGTGCCAGCCCTGTGCCCTGCGTGGTTTATGGTCTGGAGCACAGCTCCCAGCCTTCTTCAGGTGAGAAGAGCTAGCTTCTTCTCTCGAAAAGACTACTCGTGCTTGCTAGGCAGACAGAAGAGGAAGCTGGAGAAATTGAGTCCATAGCTAATCCTAGTGGGAGCTGGTGGACGTCTAGAGGGCCCTGAGATCTGACCAAGCTTCTGTTTATTCAGATGACCCCCAAGGGTGCTGGGAGCCCGGGCTTGGTCAGGCAACCCCTTGCCCACCACAACCCCAGGGAAGGCTGGAGGGCGTGAGAGCACGGGCAGGGGGCAGTCAGAGGGGTGACGTGGGCTGCTGGACAGGCCCTTAGCAATGCTGTGTAAATGAAGCAAATGTTCCCTGAGCAGGAACCTAAGAGAGGGCCACGTGGCTCCCCCAAAGGGATGGCTGCCCACTGTGGGGTCAGTGAGGGGTGGGATCTGCTCTCTTATGGGCGCTGGAGAAGGGATATGTTTAGGGTTAAGGTCAAGATCAGTGTTAGGAATAAAGTTAGAGATTAGGGTTAAGGTCAGGATTAGTGTCAGGTCAGAGTTAGGGGTCAGGATTGGAGTGAGGGGGAATTAAGAACGAGGTAAGCTATAGTGAAGGTCAAGGTCAGGTTCAGGTCAATTTGGGGTCATGGCCCAGGTCAGGACTTTCCTAGTTGGCTTTGATGGCACGGCCACATCGCCACATGGTGGTGAGCCTGGAGCCCAGGTGTCTGGACCACCTGTCCCCTCCTCCCATGGGCCCCCTGTCTGTAGACAGAAGGTGCCTCAAGATGGGCAGGTTTTCCAAAGCCATCTCCTCATGTGTCCCTGGCCAACGCCTGGCCCCTCAGGTCCAAGGGTGGCTGGCAGAGAGTAGGAGAGGGAAAAGTGGTCCTGTCAGCAGGGTCACGTGTGTGTGTGTGTGGAAGGTGACAGGTCCAGCAATCAGTTAAATTGAGATCGGTAGCTATGGTCCGAAAAAAGCACACAGGAGAGGGTTGGGTTGGTCTGTCTGGCAGTAGAGAGAGACCCCAGGGCAATAATAATATCAGGCAAAGGGAGAGCAAGTCAACATCTAGAGAGCGAACCTTGTGTCGCCATGTTGGCCGAAGCCCTCCTGCCTCCCCAGTCGAGAGTCCTTGGGCGAAAGTCTCCTGAGGGAATGGGGTCCAGGAATCGGATCGTGGGCAGTGGCGATAGCCTGAGATGAGGTTATTCCAGCGTTCCGAGGTGACAGGCTGGGCCAGATGTCCCGCAGCCGAGAGCCCAAAGACGCTAATGGTGCCACCTGCCATCTCTGACCTCCCGGCGTCCAAGGTGCTCCTTCCCCACCTTTCACAACGTGACCTGGCCCTGCTGCACGGGGGCTTGACCCTTTAACAGTTACCATTCCTAACCCACGCCCTCCGGCCAAGTTCATCCCCTGGTGATTACAAT